CCTCCCCCCACCTGCCCCAAAGTATTTAATTTCTGTAAAATTGAACTCTATACTTCTCAACTCTCCAAGACTGGTAAACTCATGCAACTCAATAGAATATTACATTTCACAAAAATCTGAACAAATATCAGTTTGTTGAGATTGAATTTTTTGTTTTGATTCCAGTTACGGAAGAATATTTTCTTTCATCATATGCCTATATATTTCTTTTCTTACCCTATCATGATTATGCAGGGTATGCAGATCAAAGCTTTGTTTATCAGCTGGTTATATGAAAGATGAAAACTGTAATATTCCCGTGATCCCATACGGGCATTCAATAAAGCAAAAGATGAGTTCCCCTCAAAAAAAAAAAAAAAAAAAAAAAAAAAAAAAAGAGAGAGAAAAGAAAAAGTATGATTTTTCAAGGGCACCTATTAAAAGGACAACAATACTAATAAAAAAAATTGTATTTACTTAGAAGCATTCAGAATGTCAACAAAACAGCTGCAACTTTTTTTTTTTCCTTTTTGCAATTACAGAGTGGTATTCAGTTAACAGAACAACAATTACTTTTATGATGCATCAGAGACAACTGAAGATGAAGAATGAACTACATCCCCTTACATAACTAATTTGTGCTGTGCACCAACAAGAACCTGCTTTAAAACTCCCATGCCAATTTACAACCCCCACACTGTACCAGGCAAGGTTAGTGGCCATTGAAATACCACTAAGGACAGGGCTATCTAAAGACACATTCGGTAGTGTGTTAACTATACAAAAAAAGAGACACTGTACAGTTTAAAAACAAATCTTACACAGCCTTACATTTCAATTTTTTTTTTTCTTTAAAAGGAGTGAGTTGTGTACAGGGGGGTTAAATGCTTTATAGACAAGAAAGAAATTGCTCTAAAAGAGACTTATTCATCATCATCATCATCTTCATCCTCCTCCTCTTCCTCTTCTTCATCATCTTCATCCTCCTCGTCTTCATCCTCATCTTCCTCCTCCTCCTTCTTCTTCTTGCTCTTCTCGGCCTTGGCAACTACTTTTTTTCCTGCATCGACCTTCCCTTTGGCCCGATATGCAGCAATATCCTTGGAGGAGAAAAGCAGGAAGAATCTCTCAAAGATTTAACAAGCCAAGAGCTCTGAGCAACTTCATAGAATCAGAGAACAGTTTAGGTTGGAAGATATCTTAAATATCATCTGGTGCCAACCTCCCCTGCCGTGGACTTCCAAACGGTACTTGTGAAACCAGAGCCACCCAGGTATCTGCCCCCTTCTCCATATCCACTGGGGTGGGACCAGGAGCTGTAGCTTCAGCTACATGGTGAACCGAGGCCCAGCGCCCAAGAAAGAGGGAACTTTAAACACAGTGGTGCGCTGGGACACGCTGCTTACGCCTGTTGAGGAATCTCTGCTGGTACGCTTCTGGCTGGAAAAGCTGCTGCCTCGGATGGTAAAGGCACAGCTGAGCCCACTGTCCCATACGGATATGAAGTAGGGAGACCTCTTAAGGTCCCTTTCTAGCCCTACCTTCTACAATGCCAAAAGAATCGCACAGGAAAATCCTTGTTTGAAGCACAAAACTGTAATTAGCCATCCAAAACACATTAGAATGACATAGCCTAAGATTTGCAATGTTATACCTCAGCAAAGAGCAATTATACAGAATTCTCCGTAACTGAAGTTTACAAAATAAAAGGTATAAGAACTTGATTAAAGGGTAGACAGTGCCACCTTCTGCATGCAATAAATTTATTCTAGTGGTTTATAACGCACAAAATTCAGTTCCTGTTACAGGGAAGTCAAAACTGTACCTGGAAGACCAAGCCAGAAAAACGGTTAGACTTCCCAACTTTGTGCCAAAATAATAAAAACAATTACGTAACAGAATTGATCTATGGGACTTAAAGATACTGGCTACAGAGGAACATCAACGCCTTTACGCGGATGGTCCAAATCTTCAAATATTCCCCACCCAGTTAACATTACACCACTGATCTTACAGTTCCCTCAAACTCCCTCAAAGCTTAGCATGGAATTTTTGGAAGATACGATACCCACTGAGTCAAAGGCCAAGAAGTGAAATACTGAGATTACTGCACCTTCAAACCCCCTTTGTAAGCGTAAGAATATAAGACAATACTAGTGAAGATTAAAATATCTGGGAATAAAGATTAATAATTCTACTATTTCAAAAGGTCTCTTATGACTTGTCTTGGCTGTACGTACGAACAATTAGCATGCTGAAGAGTTTAAGTCGCACAGGAAGGACAATGTGGGAAAGCTTCTAGACCTGCAGTTCCTCTCCAGCACGTAATTAGGACTCAAAGGGGCCACCTTGCTCACTACAATGCTACAATTTTAAAGTGGTTTTGTTTGCCAGCAGGAGAAATACCCAGAGGAAGGTCACGGCACATAAATGGATATATGTGGTATACATTAGCTATAGGTGGTTGCTGACCCATTGTAAAGCATCATCAGGGGAGGCCAAAGTGCATTCCCCTCCTCCCTTATTTTCCTCTTATTGGGATAGGAATCTGCCTCTGGAAATAGAAACACATGTAGCACTACCCTGTGCGCCCAACACATTTCTAGAGCTCCAATTATGATGACGGTGTTTAGCTTTAATAATTCAAGAAATTGTATGACATGCTGCTTCATATGTATTATTAACTGTGTTAATTACTAGAAAGGAGATGGGACACAAAATAGGTACAGGAGAAACTAACATCTAAAACTAGCATCTCATTAGTGTTCTGACATTATCCCAATAATAAATTAAAAAAATGCATCTCTGTTTATCAATTATCCTAGCGTTCAGGGATGCTCATCAATACTTCCAAAATCAGGGAAAAACAATTTATTTTTTACTGGCGTTACTTAATACTACCAACTTATCTCAGATACTGCTGTGACCTATTGTTTTAATAACAATACAGGCACCATGACACCTATTAAACCATCATTGAGGGTCCTAAATTGGAGATGAATGCAAATAGTTCAACACAAAGGCCTGCAATTTAGCATTACAGTAATAAACCGTATGCTCCCTTACGTGGTATTTTCCAACAAGTATCATGACATTTGTCATTAGCATATTATAATTTGCAACATCAGGTATCGCAGTACTCGAGAAGGGAAAAAAAAAAAAAAAAGTCTAAATTGCGGCTTGACCTCCCCAAACCATTTCCAAAAATGTCAATGTTACCTTTTCATACTTCTCCTTCAGTTTAGCAGCCTTTTTTTCATAAGGCTGTTTATCATCTGCAGCGGTGTTATTCCACATCTCTCCCAGCTTCTTTGCAACATCTCCAATGGACAGACCAGGATGTTCTCCTTTGATTTTTGGACGAAACTCAGAGCAAAACAAGAAAAATGCCGAACTACAGAGGGGGGGAAAAAAAAAGATTATTTTAATTTTAGACTTTACTGTAACTGAAAGTTTTGTGGCTCTTGTTATTGTTTCTTAAGGGCATTTTGGAAAAGCACCTAAAAGTGAGACAAACATTAATTACAATGGAAGGTATTAGAACTGAATAAACCACTTTGAAAACTTAACACATCCTTGTCTCTTCAGTAATGCTGCACATGTGGTCCCATTTTTGGCAGGACCCCCAGAAGGGCAAATTTTATATACCATATGCAGAGAAAATCTTAAAAAAGGAGAGTAACTGAATGATACCAGGGGAGCAAATGTTACGTCAGAACCATTACAGGCAGAGAAGCTGCAATATTTGTTATGAAAATTAGGATTTCCAGATGAAAGCATCAGCCCAAATCTGAACATTCCCTTCTACAGGAACTTCCCTGTTTCCTTCAGCATTAGCTCCATTTAGAACACACACAAACGTGTATTGCTACTAAGTACCAGTGTCCAGTAGCAGGTGAATCCCAAGTCAGTAGTCTTTAGGAACTTTCCATGCTGTTTTTTATGCAAGATCATCTCTCTAACCTGTTGTGTGCAAAAGCCTCTTGATTTTAAATGGACTAGCAATCAAAAATTCTGCTCAAGTTAACAGGTGGGGAGGGCAGGGCCTGAAATATTTTACTGCCATTTTAGACTGGAATTACCCTCTTAACAGAAATTGGAAACATGAGTCAGAACTGCACATTGCCGGTCTTTCCATCCACTTTTAAAAGCTGACGCTATTCCAACTTAGATAAAGAGGGCCAACCTGAAACCACAAACCTGTAATTCCCAACTAAAATTTCAACCCATCTTTACGCCGCTGGTCAGGAAAATCCTGTAGTCTTGTATTTTCTGAAGCTCCTAAACCTGGATAAAATGATCATTTTATAGATATGCTCCAGTGTGATGGTCCTGAACAAGATACAGCAAGACTAGAAAATCTACTCACGGAGGCCTCTTCGGTGCATTTGGATCCTTGAACTTCTTTTTTGTTTCCCCCTTAGGTGGTACATAGTTTTTCATTTCTTTTTCATAACGAAGCTTGTCAGCCTTTGCCATGTCTTCAAACTTCCCTTTCTCCTTAGAGGACATAGTCTGGAAGGCAATTAGAATCATAGAATATCTCAAGTTGGAAGGGACCCATAAGGATCAAAATGGTATTTTAATATTCAAAAGCATATCCAAGTCTATTCCAAAATTTCAGTTGGGGGAGCTAAAGGTAAGGCAAAAAAACCACAGACAGTTACCACTAATCTTACAACTGCACTTCATACTTACCAAAAAGCTGAACTTTTGAAGAAATAATTTACAGTCTCGAACAGTATTTCACACAAAGCAATTCTTTAAGGTTTTGTGGTGCTTTTAAGTGGTTATTCCTACCTTCCATCGTTCTGAGCATTTTTTTGAGAACTCTGAAAAGTTCACTGAAGCATCTGGATGTTTCTTCTTGTGCTCCTCCCGGCAGGTTTGCACAAAGAACGCGTATGAAGACATTTTACCTCTCGGCTTCTTAGGATCGCCTTTGCCCATTTTTGATGATTTTCTGTAACAAAGCAAAAGAAGACACCTTTAAAACTTTTTACAAACCAACGCGGGAAGGAAGCCACAACGAAGGATCATGCCAAACAAGACCTGTCGGAGCAGTATTCCAAAGTCATAAAACAGGAAGAAGTTTCTCTTATGAAGATTTACTGAGGATTTCTGCCACCACTGTTTGAGGTGACCTGGGCGCAAGCAACCTGAAATCTCAAAGGGCCTTCAGAACGGGTAGTTCTGGTCTCCTGTGAACAAAAATGTTCCTTCCATGCAATCTGAAGGCAAGTACTAGCATCAGTGCAGCGGAGACTGCACTCCTTGATTACTGCTAGTGTATCACTCCTGTGCTTAGAAGGAATAAATTATATTGAAAGAAGGAGGAAAAAAGTACCTGAGTATCCTGTCTCAGCTGGCTTTACGGGCTGCTAATTTTTTTTCTTCCTAAAGCCTGTATTTCTATCCGCCTCCCCTGGAGACCTGGGGTGTTCATTTGCAAAAGATATATATTTTATTATTTTTGTATGCCATATATTATCACTCTCCTTTAAATATACAGCAAAAACCTACTCTCTCTTTGGACGCGTACCTAGAAATACAGGAATGAAACATCACACTCGGTCAAACATGTTACAACCAAGCCAGGGACACTGAAAGTATGACATTTCCGTATGACTAGCAAAGCTGTGCTCAGCGTGAGGACTGTCTGACTCTTTCAGGGACTGAGAGGGAACGAAAAATACCTTCCTGGAACTTTCACACCCAAGTCAGACATTCAGAGTATTTCTTCATAGCTCCCTGGAAAAAGCCACTCGCACCCTGACAAACTCCCACTCTTCAGCAGCACTCACAGCTTGCTGGTGTTGGCCTAACAATAGAGGGGGAAGAAAGTGCATGCACCGCCTGCCCGTATTGCCACAGAAGCAGTATTTCCTATCGGTTTGGCGGATAGACAGAAACAGATTTCTGCTCTGTGACTAAACACGTCCGGTTTGAAGTTTCTATCAAGTAAACAAGAGGGCTGAAGAACCAGGAGCC